TTTGTAATGGAAGAAATGCACTACGAAGTTAGGACAGATTTTTGCCAAGTGCAGGAGGCCCTTTATTATTGCTGCAGAAAAGAAAAGCCTGGCAGAGTCGACGTTTTACATTCTGCCTTCCTGAAATCTGCACTGAAATCTACATGATGCTTCCTGCTGGGTTTCTGTACATGTAAACGTTGTCACGTGTGACAGGAAATGGCTGGAGGTGTGCTTTGTGTGAAAGGTGAGCAATAATGTATCTGTTAAATTCAAAAAAAATTACATAGTCATCTGCTTCCTGGCGCTTTTTAAAATGTCTAGCCTGTTTATTATTCCCAATAAACACTCCAAAAGTTAAATTTAATTATGATTTTTCTATTTAAAAAAAATCTCAATCCATCAGAGGCAGGAAAGACTGCACTGCTTCTCATGAATCAATTTTGGATTTATTTATCACGCTAACCTTTCATTCATTCAACCAATTAATATTACTGAGTCCTCTTCAGTAGGTCAGACATTTTGCCTGGCACCACCCTTGTGCAGTTTTCATTTTTGTCAGAGGGACAGACAGTTAACTAGCATACAGATTTTAAGAAGGATCGTAATCACAATGGCGCTAAGTGCTTTAAAGAAGGCAATGCCAGCAGGAGCCAGGTGGGTGAGCAGGATGTGGGACAGGGCCATCCCCACTGTTAGGAGGCCCCATTGTGATAAAAATCTGAATGATCGACCCACACATGGAGTAATTGTAAAAGCAAATCACTGTCCCACCAAGATTTTCTTGTGGATATACACAAGATTATTCTAAGATTAATATGGAAGAAAAGGAAAAGGCAGTAGAATAAAGCAATTTTACAAAAGAAATAAAACGTCTACCCAATATTAAGATTTAGCCTATACATACGGGAGTCAAGATGTCTTACACTGAATCAGTGGAGGCTAGAGAACCCAAAATAAACCCATGTAAATCTACTCACTTCACTTCTGATGAACTGCAACAGTGAGTGGGAGAGGAGAGACAGTCTTTCAGGAAATGGCGCTGCAGCAATCAGAAAGGGAAAGGTAAAATAACAAACCTAAGCCGATGTCTCAAACTTTGTACAGACATGAACTCAGAATGGATCACAGACTGTAGCATAAGACATAAAACTATGATCCGTTTTAAAATTGAAGAAAATCTTTACGATCTCAGGCTTTGCAAAGAATTTCTGAGACTTGACACCGGATGCAACACATACAAAAGGAAAAGTTGACCAGTTGGACTTCATAAAATTAAAACTTTTGTTTTTCAAATAATTTTTTTTAAATAAAAAAACCTGTTTAGAAGATAAAAAGGTAACCTACAGAGTGGGAGAAAATATTTGCAAACAAATACAGCAAAAAATACACATATTGCACGTTTATAGCAAAGGACTGAGTAGAATACATAAAGATCTCCCAGAACTCGAGTAAAAATAAAAATAAAAAATCTTATTTAAAAACGGGAAATGCACAGGGGTTATTTGTCTTTTCCTTGTTGAATGGTATGAGTTCTTTATTTTGGGGGGCACGAAGTTCCTTATCATACACATGATTTGCAAATATTTTCTTAGGCTGTACCTTCTTGAATTTGCACCCATAATATGTGTATGGGGCCGGGCGCGGTGGCTCACGCCTATAATCCCAGCACGTTGGGAGGCCAAGGAGGGTTGATCACGAGGTCAAGAGATCAAGACCATCCTGGTCAACAAGGTGAAACCCTGTCTCTACTAAAAATACAAAAATTAGGTGGGCACAGTGGCGTGTACCTGTAGTCCCAGCTACTCGGGAGGCTGAGGCAGGAGAATTGCCTGAACCCAGGAGGCGGAGGATGCGGTGAACTGAGATCATGCCATTGCACTCCAGCCTGGGTAACAAGAGTGAAACTCCATCTCAAAAAAAAAAAAAAATGTGTATGAGTGATCAGTTTTTCTGCTTTCTCACCTGCACTTAGAGATGTCATTATGGGAAATGGGAAAGGTTAATAAGATGTGAAGAAAGTGGAATCCCTCTTACATTGCTGATGGAAACACAAATTGGTATGGCTGCTTTGTACAATAGATTGGCAGTTTCTCAAAATGTTAAACACAGATATGACACAGTATTTGCACTCCTGGGTATATACTAAAGACAACTGAAAACATATGTCCACATAAAAAATTGTATAGAAATGTTCTTAGCAACATTTTTCACCATACACACACACACAAAAAAAGGAAGCAACTCAAATGTCTGTCAACTGAGGAATGGATAAACAAAATGTGGTATATCCATATGATGGAATATTATTCAGCTATGAAAAGGAACTAAGCACTTACAAATGTTACAACATGGATAAATCTTAAAAGGATGCTAAGTGAAGGAAGCCAGACATAAAAGGCCACATGTTGTATGATTCTATGTGTGTGAAATATTCAGAATAGACAAATCCATAGAGGCAGAAAGCAGAATTGTGGTTGTCAGGAGCTAGGGGAAGGAGGACTGGGGAGTGACTGCTAATGAGTATGGAGTTTCTTGTCGTGCAACAAACATGTTTAGAAATGAGATAGCGGTGTGGCTGCACAATTTTATGAATGTACTATACTACACTGAGTTGTACACTTTAAAAGGGTGAACTTTACAATGTGTGAATTATATTTCAATAAAGCTAATTAGATAGATAGATAGACAGATAGATAGATAGATATAGATAGATGATAGCTAGATGGATGTAGTTACTACAGGTGGCAATTTCTTTAAAAAAGAATAGTACAATTACCACATGACCATGAGGGAGTGTGTTCTCTTTCCGGGTCCACGAGGGGGCGTAGTTTTAAGGACAAGAATTTCCCAGTGCCATGTCCCCCTCCCATCTCTCTCCATCAGGAGATTTAACGGTTTATGTCTGAATTTCGCGGGCGTGGGAAGAAACTAAAAGTCAATCCCCCAGCAGAAGTTTAGAGGAACTCCTTTCATTGGCCAGAGGAACTTGGGAAGGCGGGAAAGTCTCCCAGGATAAACTCCCCTGCTCCTTCATCCACGCTGGATTTCCAGCTCTCTAGGATCCCCTCCCACATGGTGGGCGCTTTGCTTCCTTTCCTCTCTGAGATTTCCCCTCTGGAATCCCCTTCCACGCTCTTCGTGGAAGTCTTTCTCTTCTTCTCCTTTTCTTCTCTTTTCTCTACCTAAATAAAATCACCTTTCTGCAACACCTCTAGGGTCTGGTATTTACTTTTGCGAGTATACAGTGCATCTGCAGTGGTCCCATTGCTTATTCTTTAAGAGACTGAAGGCCAAGAACTCACAGTATTCTCTTGGGGGAGCTGTGCCTCACCAGCACCCAAGAAAAAACACGGTCAAAACCACACAATTGCACTTGTACGCATTTATCACAGAGAACTGAGGACTTGAGTCAATGGAGAAACCTGCCTACCAGTGTTTACAGCAGTTTTGGTCACGGTAGCCAAAAGCTGGAAACAGTCCAGATGTCCTCAATGAGTGAATGTTTAAGGAAGTGCTGGTGCATCCACAACACAGAAGTGTAATCAGCAGTGAAATGGAACACCCTACTGATACAGGCAACAGGCTGGATGCAATCTCCAGATAACTATGCTAAGTAAAAAAGCCAATCCCAGGAGCTTATAGCCTGTATGATTCCACATGTAACGTTATTAAGATGTCAAAGTTACAGCAATGAAGAACAGATTAGGCTGAGGAGGGGCGGGGTGGGAGGGAAGTGGGTCTGTCTGCAAAAGGCACTATGAGGAATCCTAGTGGTAAAGGAAACGTCCTTCATGTTGACTCTATTGAGACGGGGCAGGGGTGGCAGGGGAGCCCTGGAAGCCTCTAGAGCCCAGCCTCCTCTTCCTCGCCGGGAGCCCTCGATGCAGTTGCAGGGGGCTGGACTGTGGATGCCCTGATCTCCAGCAGGCGGGCTCTGCTGCCTCCCACTGTGGAGGCCGGAAGGAAGGACACCTACACTGTTTCCCCTGGATCTACTGAAGACTAGATCCCTGGGGTCCTACCTACCTATCCACACCTCCACCCTGCAGCGACTTGGCCTCATTTTCTGGATGAAGACGCAGCACCTCTATGGCGGGGCACACCCACCCCTGCCACGAGCTCTCCTTCATGCACAACCCCAGTGTGAAGCCCCCACGTCATCCATGCTTGGCTGTTGTTGGTTTTTGGGACTCTCGCTCCCTAAGGGGCCAGGCTGTGCATTCACAATGACTGAGAGTGGGTCCCAAGCAGCTCGTCAGAGGCCTTGTCCCATCCCAGCTCCCACCCTCCAGACCTTCAGGCACCCCCTGGGGTCACACCCCGGAAGCCCTCCATAACCTACAAGTCTGACCTAAGTACTGGTGACTCCTACATTCCAATCGAGTTAGAATCCCTAAAATTGAAGGTGGCGTTTGCTAGAGTGGTTTCTACCCAGGATCAATCCCTGGAGCAACTTTCTGAATAAAATAAAATAAAAGTTGGCTGCATGGTCAATAAACTTGGAACTTTTCTCTCGGAGATAACACAACATGCTGTAATTTCTAGGAAAACCTGCAGTGGAGAAACCTGTTTCAAATTTCTGATTTTGTGAATTTTAAAACTAAAATTAAATTAAGTTTTTATCCTAAGAATTTCTGGCTTTTGCCATGGATTCATTTCTGCATGGCCAGGACTCCTGACTGCCCCTTTAGGTTTAATGGGAAACCACACCTGAAGGAGTCAGATGTGGGTTCAGATAACCAAAGCCCCGTGCCTGTGACTTGAGTGGTGCCACTGCCTTGCTTCTACACCGAAAGTTGCAAATCTAATTTCCTGGTTTCTGATTATGATTAAATAATTTATATGCTATACTACATTACATCGAATCCTGTCAGGCCCTACCCCCCAGCAAATGAACTGTCACTTAATAGAATATTCAAAAAACAACCAATGCGTCTGAAAGATAATTGCTTTCAATTTTCTAAGTTTTCACTTATCCAGCATAAAAAAGGCAAACAGACATGACCTGATTTTTTATAGACAGTTCTCCCCAACATCTGGCCAATAGTATCTAAATATTTCCAAGTAAAAATTAGGCAAAGAAAAAAGAAACTTTCATTGTCCAAGTTGATTTCTTTCTGATGCTCATCAAAAGTTTAAAAATAAAATACCTTGCTAACTTTCTAGTCATTCTCGTTGCCACACTGCTTCAGCCGGTGGTGTCAAGGAATTCCGGTTTGACGATGTTTTTCTTCCACAGCTCTCTTACTCCTGCTCCGTACTATTTTAGAAGTTATCTAGAATGGTAAATTAAATATGTAAGTGTAAACCTTGAAAGGAGAGAGAAAAGAATAAATATATGTAAGATACAAAAATCCTCACACTTTACAACCTTGAATACCAAGATAATAAAATGCTCTCTATATTTTCTGTGTATTTCAGTTTAATTTAATAATATTGCAAAAAACATTTTCTGAAGGGGATACTAAATAATAGCAATGACATTGCGACTTTATAGATGTACGTTTGCCCTAGTTTTTGCTAAAGAAACAGTTCTTTTAAAGTGACAAATATAAGTTATAACACGAACCGCTTAAGATTAAGAAGACCAGCGAATTATGGCATCTTTTAGCAAAGAATCATTCTCCGCTTAGGCCAAGGACAGACGCTGATCATGTCCAGACTTGGTTTTATGAGAATGTGTGCTATAAGAGCAAATCTTCAACGACGACACTGGCTCCTAGCTATAATCGAGCAAATTACATGTCCACAGATGTACATTTTTACAGAATAGACTTTACTGAAATGCTCTTAGGAAAGAGGACTTGAATAGATGAGTGCATTCCTTCGATAATATGTTTAAGCACCTTTCAGTGTCAAGTTCCTGAGTTGAGTGCCACAGGGAACACAAATTTACCTACCACAGAACCTGCTCTCAGGGAGCTCACAGGAGGATGTGGTAAATCAGCGAATGAAGGAGGTGATGAATTATGTGTGTCACCTGAAATGACAGAAATGATCAGAATCCAGTTTAAAAAGCTTATTCTGGTGAAAAGCTGGAAATGGCCATCCAGAAGACAAAGACACCAGAGAAATGGGGTCAGTGCTTTGAAGTTAAATGTTGTTTTGCTTTTATATCTAGTGTCAGCTGAAGAATCAAGAGGTTTATAAATTTGGAAAGGAGAGCTTTATTTCTCATAAAGGGTTGCAGCCTGTAGGCTGGGCATCCTGTAGGCTGGGAAGTGTAGCCTCTGGCAGAAGCTGGAAGCAGGCACTTCAAGGGAGGGAAGGATAAGACAGAAACTTAAGTTGAAGAGGTTGGCTAGGTATAGATATTCTACAGGTTACAAGAGGAGCTCTGAATATTTACAAAGGGGAGGCATGGGCGTGTGTAGTAGACTAACATATACGTAACCTGCATCCCACGTTTACTTTGGGGTGGAGACAACATTTAAGTGTATTATAATTAGATCCTATACAACAAAAGGTGAAGCAGAGGACCTGACGGCCGTCAGTGTGCAGCCTCTTTAAACTGGCCAGAACCACTCTGTGGCTGCTGGTCTCTCATCAGGAAGAAATGTTAATCAGTTGCTGTCCACCAAACCAGGGGCAGTGTCAAGCGGTTGGTTGGTTGAAATCAGCAGTCAATAAGTCTTTCAAGAGGGCTAGTTTTTGTTTAAATCTTAGGAAAAGAAAGTCTAATTGCACTTAGCAAAGGAGGGACTGTCATGAGGCGCATCTGACCTCCTACACCATCATGGCCGAGAGATCAGTTTTTTTTAAGGTTTCTCTGGGGTCCTCTTGGCTGAGAGGGGGGTCTTAGTCACATGGGGGGCTTAAGATTTTATTTTTTATTTCTCATTAGGCAGAAAACCAAGAAGTTTTGGTAGGATTGTAACATTTTCTATGCAAGACTGGATTATTACTTGCAAAAAGTTAATTAGTGCAGTTTGCTTTTTTCTCCAAGTGGCCTGTTTTCTTCTCTTTATGGGTAGCTTTTGTTTCCAATTTAAAAGTGCACATTTAACATTTTATTTTAGGCAACGCGATAGCCAAAGTCTTTGTGTGAGAAAGGTAAGAAGGACACTAATCTACAACGAAGATCAGTAGTGAAGAGGGAAGGGGTCTTTTTGTCACCCTTTAGTCATTTGCAACATTTTCAAAACACTGTAGGTAAGGAAGAAGGCTGATCTATAATCAGACAGATACAGATTAGAGCTGCCTGTTTTATGAGTCAGATCCCATAATCACATTTCCTTAAGACTCAAAATATCTTAAAGTTTCAGCTTTTGATTTACATATTTTCACATGTGAAGCTAAAGTTTTACAAAAATTCAGAGAAGGAAGCTATGATATTATGAAGTACATATATTTGGTCTTTGCCAGTTTTCCTGGCATCTGACTTTTAATCCTTAGAAACTTCTAAGTGCTGTCTTTTTGTTTCCTAATGTTTACTGGTAGCTTCAGGGCATGGTTTGCCACCAGAAAGATAAAGGCATAATTAGAGGGTTAGGACTTTCAATCCCATCTCCTAATCTCTAGGAAGGGAAAGAAGCTGGAGGTTATGTTGATCATCAGTGGCCAGCGGTTTAATCATTCATGTCTACATAATGAAGCTGCCATATAAACCCAAGAGGACAGAGTTCAGAGAACTCCCAGCTCCCTGAGCCGGGGGAGGTCCTGGATGTGATGCCCAGGGAGGGCGTGGAAGCTCTGCGCCCTCCCAGTATTTCAGTCTGCACCTCTTTGTCTGTATCCTCGATGGATGCATCCTTGGAATACACTTTACAATAAACCGGTAAACACAAGTCGATGTTCCCCTGAGTCCTGTGTACGACTTCAACAAATTGAACTCAAAGAGGGGTCCTGGGATCACCAGTTTATAGCCAGTCAGTCAGAAGTTTCAGAGCCTGGATGTGCCACAGGCATCTGAGGGCAGGACAGTCAGGGACTGAGGCTCAACCTGTGGGATCTGAGGTTACCTCCAAGTAGATAGTGTTAGAACCAGATTAGAGGGCACCCAGCTGGTGTCCACTGCTTGCTGTGTGGGGACACCAACCCTGCCACATTAGGTCACGGAAGTCTCCTGCGTTGCTGGCTGCTGTTGTGTGGGAGGAGAGGAAAACCAGGGTTTGAGAAACTTTCCTAAACAGCTGAACACATGAAGGTTCCTGAAGGGCGGCATGCCCCTCTCCCATGCCCTGCCCTGTGCACCTCATCATCTGTATTCTTTGTAATATCCTATGTAATAAACTAGTGAACATAAGGGTTTCCCTGAGTTCTGTGAGTGGCTGTCACAAATTAATTAACCCAAAGAGGAGGCCGTCGGATCGCTGATTGACAGCCGATCAGTCAGAAGACAGGTAAAACAACCCGGGGCTTGCGATTGGCACCAGAAGTGGAGGCAGCCTTGTAGGACTGAGCCTCATTCTGTGGAGTCTGATGTTATCTCAGGTGGTAGAATCAGCACTGACTGGACTGGAGGACTCCCAGCTGGCGTCTGCTGCAGAACAGAGTGATTGCTTGGTATACGCGGGGAAAACACACACATTTAATCATAGGTCTTCTGTGTTGACTGTGGGGTGAGAGCAGAGGAAAAGCAGCCTGTTTTTTCCCCTTCACAAGCCTAAGTCCAAATAGGAACGGTCACTTACTCACTGAACACATCCTTAGCACCTATCACGAGCCAGGCATTGATCTAGGTACCGAGGATACAGCAGTGGACAATTTAGAAACAGACTCTGTCCTCCTGGGCACTGTTCGAGTGGAGAGACAGACAAGCCCATAAACAAAGATGAAATTGGATGCATTTGGCAACCCTGGGCAATGGAGAAAAGCAAAGGCAAGCTAGAGACAGTACGAAGGAAGACGGTGTGTGGAAGGAGGTCATTTTACATTGGGGGAGTCACTTAGAAAGGCTGTGAAGAGTCTGTGTGTGTTTATGTGTCTGTGTGTATATGTGTGTACATGCATGTATGTGTGTCATGTATGTGTGTATGTGTGTTGTATGTGGATGTGTATCTGTGTTGTATGTGGGTGTGTGTCTGTGTCATGTATGTGCATGTATGTGTCTTGTATGTGGGTGTGTGTCATGTATGTGCGTGTGTGTTGTATGTGGGTGTGTATCTGTGTCATGTATGTGTGTGTTGTATGTGGGTGTGTATCTGTGTCATGTGTGTATGTGTGTTGTGTGTGGGTGTGTATCTGTGTCATGTATGTGTGTGTATGTGTGTTGTATGTGGGTGTGTATCTGTGTTTGTATGTGTGTGTATGTGTGTTGCATGTGGGTGTGTATCTGTGTCATGTAAGTGTGTGTGTTTTATGTGGGTGTGTATCTGTAACATGTGTGTGTATGTGTGTTGTATGTGGGTGTGTATCTGTGTCTGTATGTGTGTGTATGTGTGTTGTATGTGGGTGTGTATCTGTGTCATGTATGTGGGTGTGTTGTATGTGGGTGTGTATCTGTCCTGTGTGTATATGTGTTGTATGTGGGTGTGTATCTGTGTCATGTGTGTGTATGTGTGTTGTATGTGGGTGTGTATCTGTGTCTGTATGTGTGTGTATGTGTGTTGTATGTGGGTATGTATCTGTGAGTGTGTGCACACGTGCACACAGGGCATGTTGATGATGTAGAGCCCTTACGTTTGATTGCTGTAAGTGAAGGCTAGTGCTATCCATTATGTGCCACCAATCTCCTTTACAAATAGGCGCACGAATACATGTCAAAATTTGATGACCATAGAGAAGAAACGTCTACATTTATTTTCAATTGACAGGACTAATCTTTGGAGAACAATTCAAATTATTAAATCATTAATTGATCTTTTAAAAAATGTTTACTTCCAAGGTTTATATTCACGTTTAAATTTTAAACAAGTAAACTCATGAATGCTTTGAGGAACAAAGGAAACTACTGTAATTAGGTTATCGCCACTTTAGCGTAATTAAAGAATTTCTGCATTCTTTAAGCTCAGAATGAAAAATCTGAAAGATTATTCTACCACAATCATTGCTTTGTAATCTGCCACTGAACAGATTAGACTAATTGTTTATACGCTGTTTATCTGCTCTTCATTTAAACAGAAGAGCTAGTTTTTACAGACGACACACCAATGTATCTTGGCAGCTGGAATGCAGCCATATTTTTATCCATATGAACAATAAGAAAACATAAACCATTAGAACCTTGGACCGTTCAGACATCTTCAGAAGTTATGAAAGCGTCGCTGCATCTAAGGGCAAAGCGGCACACAGTCACTCCAGCCACAAACACGAAGAGCTTGGTGTGCTTTAGAATATAGTTAACCTGTGAGAAATATGGAGAGAGGGAAGAGCCAAGGTCAGAATCTAATTGCAATATGCTTTTATTTTATTGATGCATTTTCCACTCGTTTCTTTTTTATCTTTATGTCAAACACAGAAAGAATTGAGAAAAAACTTCAATATAATTATATAATAATTTCTCATCAACTGTTGGACAAATGCCAGTGGCTCCTTGCCAAAAGCAGAAATGAAGAGGGCACTTTTCTTAGGAAGGGAATTAATTTCTAAGAATCAGTTCCATTAATACAGACCATTAAAAATTCCAACTTCAATTTGCCCATCATGCAGGCAGCTACCGAGAGATTTCTGCTAAGAGAAATATCCTAGAGAAAATAAAATGGCAGCTGGACCAGGGGAATGGGTGACTGGGTCAGATTCTCTGTACAGCAAAGGACGATTTGCAAGATAAACTTACAAATTATAATATTCTAAGATGGATGCCATAAAAATGCCAAGGCAGTAAGACATTATATGGTAAACATTTGCATTTTTAAAATTATTAGCAAAACAGTAAAAGAAACAAAACAGCAAGAGTCTAAAAGGAATCCGTAGAGATATTCCAAAAAGCAGTAACTGCATTATTTACAGTCCACTGACCTTCAAATTCAAGGATGTTAATTTTTTTAGGGTGTTATTAGAGCATTTAAGTAAACACCTGAAACAGATGTGAACATTTTCTAACTTGAAAGCAGGAGAGCTTGATTCTACTTTCCCCGACTTTTTCTGAAGCACGGATCCTTTTTGTGGGGGTACTTTATCTCAAAATCTCACCACCCTCCTATTTACTTAACACTGAATTAACTTGATCTGTTTGCTTTAGTCAGTTTTTAGGGGTCAGGAACAATGTTAGCTACAAAAAGGCATAAGGGTATGACTTCCGTTGTTTAGTAATGCATGAGAGAAAATGTGGGTTTCTTAGGTAATGCTGCCTTTCCTTCCAAAAGTAATTAGAAACGTCCCCAAATTTTGAAGTGCTTTCCAAATTAATAATTTAGAATACTGCTAAATTTGGATAGCCCTCTAGTTTTGCCTGTCTTTGCATTTCAACATAAATACAAATGTAAGGAATAAAAACAAGTATATTTTCTCACCCTATGCTAGGTTCGTGCCTGAGGCTCCTCCTATAAGATAGATTAACAAGAAGAAAGCATACAAGTGTATTTAACACAATTTGCACATGACATGGGAGTCTTCAGAAATAAAGATCCAAAGAAACAGGGAAACACATTTTTCATGCTAGGTTTGAAGAGTGGACAGTCTTGGGGAAGTATGGCTGGACAGAGGGGGTGTGACCTAACAGTAATAATTTGGGGGGCAGGAGGGGCTTAGCAAGGCCAGTGTGTTCAGATTGTTCTGCGTCCCTGTGTCTTCAGAGACAGGAATGTTTCTTTTCTCTGGGTAAGGGGTATGCACTTTTTGAATGAGGGTCTTAAGATCTGCTTCAGGGTAGAAGGGCAGAGGAGGATGAGAGAGACCTTCCTGCTTCTGCTGTTCTTTCAAATGTCAAAGCGCCATGCTTTCGGTTAGTGTGTCCTGAACCCCATTATGAGCTACAAATAAAATATACACATAAAAGTTGGATATCATTTTCTGCATTGTTGCACTAACAGCCATATCTTTTTGATGCTAAAAAGTAAAATCACAGATGCTAGACTGAGGCAGATTTTAAAGACATCATACCAGAAATGGCAAATCCCAGATGCCATTTGGAAGTTTCCCTTTCATCTTGTGGTTGAAAATTAGCCAAGCCCAGAGGCAGCTGGGCAAGCAGGCAGTGCAGGGCTAAGCCATGAGCTTCCAGGAAGGAAGACAGGAGAAAGCCTTCACACATGGAATGAGCTCTGCTGAGCCATCAACAGAGACACTGAGAGGTCCTTGAGACTGGCAGGAGCCCAATGCAAGGAAGTCCCTGAGGAACAGCTCTGGACAGAGACAGCCAAGAGGAAGACGCACCCCTTCCAGTGGATCCAACTCCTAGCAGGAGGAACTGGAGGTCGAGGTGCGTTCAGGCTTCAGGTCCCTACGGAGAGTGCTGCTCTCACACCAACACCATGCCCGACTCATGCATCTCTTGTGTTTGCAAAAACCCAGATCAAACAAAAGTCCTGGGTCCCGTTCCAACTTGGGTTCCCTTACCGCAGCCCATGGACAGAGTGCGGCAGGGGACAGGAAGGCGGGGCTGGGAGGGGCTCTGCGAATTTGGGATGAAAAATACTGTCACGTTCATTTTCAACAATCTTTATTTGAAATTTAGCTCTTCCTTCAATTATAAATGCGACTAAGAAACCACGGTATCTGTGCCTTTGTCACCCACAGAAACCATACATTTCACAGCACGTGTTAAGCTGTTGCAGGTGTTTTGAAATAGCCGCTAATCCTTAATGTGTTAACAAAATAAGCCCACATATTAGCACATCACTGACTTGATATTAAGTTTGGAATCACTGCATGGAGCAAAGTTAAGCAGAGTTCTTTCCAAGGGAATTTTTTGGAGCCTGCACTACTGCACAGAGGAGTGTGAGTGCGGAGGGGAGATGAATGTGCGGAGCTGGCATGGAAGGAGGTGGCACTCTGAACTCAGCCCCCTCTCCTGCACTACTGCACAGAGGAGTGAGAGTGCAGAGGGGAGATGAGTGTGCGGAGCTGGCGTGGAATGAGGTGGTACTCTGAACTCAGCCCCCTCTCATCACCTCAATTTTAGAACATACTTTGCAGGTCCCCACCTGACTCTGGGGAGTACCGCAGATAATCAGAGGGTGGGTAGACCATGGTCCTCAAGTTTCACTGCACAGCAGTCCTACCACGGGGCTCTGAGAATCCTCATCCCTGCATCAGTCCACATTAAAACTCCTGCAAGGCTCTCAAGGGTATACAGAGAGACATGCAGTGTGAGAGCCACAGGGCTCCGCTTTACCCCAGTGACTCCATGGTGAACAGGAGCACTTAGACCTAGCAGACAGAGAGAAGCAAGACTCAGAAAAGGATGCTGGAAGCTGAATCTCAGAGTCAGACCAATGACTTGGTCTAAGAGGCCCTCCTGACCTGCAGAAACTTCATGTTTTATTTTTAAGTAAAGGAAGTAGCATTTCTTTAGATAGATGTTCAATAAAATTATCTTAGTCCATTTCTGCTGCTATAACATAATGTCACAGGTTGGGTAATTGAGAAAGAAAAGAAATTGTTCTGATTTTCAACAGATCTGGAGGCTGAGAAGTTCAAAATCAAGGTGCTGGCAGATTCAGTGTCTGCTGAGAACTGCTCTCCGCTTCCAACATGTTTTCCTGGTGCTGCATCCTCACCTGGCAGAAGAGATGGAAGGGGCAAACAAGTCCCTCACACCTCTTTTGTAAGGTCACTAATTCCATTCTTTTTTTTTTTTTTTTTTTTTTTTGAGACAGAGTCTTGCTCTGTTGACAGGCACCAGGCTGGAGTGCAGTGGTGCAATCTCGGCTCACTGCAACCTCCGCCTCCTGGGTTCAAGCAATTCTCCTGCCTCAGCCTCTCTAATAGCTGGGACTACAGGTGTGCACCACCATGCCCAGCTAATTTTTGTATTTTCAGTAGAGACGGGGTTTCACCATGTTGGCCAGGATGGTCTCGATCTCCTGACCTTCTGATCCGCCTGCCTCGACCTCCCAAAGTGCTGGGATTACAGGCGTGAGCCACTGCACCCAGCTGCTAATTCCATTCTTAAGAGCTTCATCCTCATGACTTAATCACCTCCTAAAGACCCCACTTCTTAATATTACCCGATACGTTTTGGCTATGTCCCCACACAAATCTCACCTTGAATTTTAGCTCCCATAACCCCCACTTGCCATGGGAGGTACCTGGTGGGAGGTAACTGAATCTTGGGGCAGGTCTTTCCCATACTGTTCTCATGATAGTGAGTAAGTCTCATGAGATCCGATGATTTTATAAAGGGCAGTTCCCCTGCACACGCTTGCTTGCCTGTCACCATGTAAGACATGTCATTGCTCCTCCTTCACATCCCACAACGATTGTGAGCTCTCCCCAGCTATATGGAACCTCTTCTTCTTTATAAACTACCCAGTCCTGGGTATTTCCTCACAGAAGTATGAGAATGAGCTAATACACTACCCCATTGGCAATTAAGTCCTAAACACATGCATTTTGGAGAGACAGATATAGACCTAACATTTCTATCAAGTGAATGGTTACAATCCACACAAATTGCTATTTAAAATGGACTGTACACTTGAGGAAATAAGATATTTCAGTCCAAGACACCGCCCACATTAGCCATACTGAGGAACAACTAACCTACATAAAAACTGAAAAGATAAAATCCTCAAGTTTTAATTATGTAAAGATCAAACATATAATGCGATTCTCTTTACTAACTTCCTATGGTAAATACATTATTTTGAGTAAATTAAAGAAAAACTTCACTAAAATTAATCAAGACTAAATAAAAGCTTAGAAATGTAGAGCCCATCAGAAAACCAAACAGCAGAGAATTGCAAGTAAATAGGAGAAAGGCCATAGACATTTTAGACACAGAAGTCAGTTCAAATTTGATCCAGTGTTCTTTTTAGATTAATGTAACAGCGGATAACGTACTGAACACTTCCTATCTGTCTGACTCATCCTTACACATACACGATATCCTATGAAATAGGCACTACCATATGCAAATCTGAAAGATGTGGAAGGGAAGGCCCAGGGAGGTGAAGATATTTGTCCAGTATTCGGGAACGAAGGCCAAGAGTCAGATCCAAATAATCTGACTTCAGAAGCCAAATTCTTAACCGTACCCCACAGAGATTAAAGCAGTCAGATGAGTTATAACAAGACAAACTTGTACGTGATGTAAACCCACCAGCATGGCAGTACTAAACATAGCAGGCCAATGCAAAGAACACATGTGCTTTATGTCAAGAAAGATTAATTTTAACTCTATCAATCACAACGCATTTTTTAAACATCCCACAGGTGAAAGTAGTGAGGCAAACA